CAAAATTCCAGTATGGCTATTTCAGTGGATAAACAGGGAACCTGTCCCTCAGGATGGAACATACTTGAGGTCGAAATATCTGCCATAGTAACAAACTCCTACCCAAATAATAAATCTTCTCGTCCCCACAAGCGGGATAATCCCAATGATGGCCCTGTGAAATATCCAACTAGACCCACACCCATTCATTTAAAGAAAGAAAAGATTAAATGGCCTTGTGAGGAGTAGAATCTCATTATGAATGCATTCTATGAAGCTTTGCACAGATTTCAGAAAAGCATCGACTCGACATTTGGCAAGAAAATGTTGGAAAAGCAATTAGAATGTACATTGACGAAAGTAAACTAGCCAATATATGAAGGTACATCATGAGAATTAACTGATTGACAGATGCTGAAATTAGAGAAATAAGTAGAACTGCAATCAGAATTAATCAATCCCCAGAACATGAAAAGGAACCGGAAATAAGCATAAAATTACTAACATCACACAAACCACAGATCATGATAAAAAATCCCCTAGACACCAATCACTGTGAATATAATGCTGAGAGTTTAGAAGAATTGGAATAGCGTGATCTTAGTTGTTCACAATCCTGCAATAAAAAGGATTCAAAACACATGGAACCGAATTATTTGACGAAAAATAAGAATAGTATACAAAGAAGAAACCATGATATACATAAGTCAGACACAAATATTGAAGTGAAGGAACGGGAACAACTCCCAAAATGTCAACTAACAAAGCAGAAACTCAAAACTATTAAACTCTACAATGATGCACTCAAATCAATTCTGGATGAAGTAGACACACAACGAAGCAATATATATATATATATATATATATATATATATATATATATATATATATATATCAGCAATAGTAGCAACTAAAACATTAAGCATCAAAGTAAAAACGCAGTCTCGCAGACATAAAAATCTACCATGGAAATGAAAAATAAAGAAATAAAATAAATTGTACCACGGGAATCACAGAAGAGGATATTGAATATGCACAGAAAAATCACACGACTGGCTCTCTTATCTAAATACAGCACACAAAGAACTAGCCAAAGAATATCAAGAAATGGCCAATGTTCCTACTAGAATTCCGCCATGTGTTACAAAAGGAATTACCTTCCTTCTACCCAAGAATGGTGACACAAATGTCCAAAGAAAACTGCAGACCAATTACATGTCTTCCCGCTGACTAAAAAATGACTTACTACGTCTTGAACAAAAAGGCTGCAAACGTGACTCTGACGGATGTAAAGACCAATGAATATATATAAATGGTGACTGATAAAATAAACATCAACAGAGGAATATTTCAAGGTGACTCTTTGTCTTCCTTACTACTTTTTATATTCCGAATAGCATTAACCACCGAATTTAACATGATAGAATATGGTTATAAAATATCTCAAAAGAAAATATGCAATTTATTTTACATATGGATGACATAAAGTTGTATGCTAGGAATGACAGTGAGCTGGAAGTCTTCTGAAAACAGTAAAATGTTTCAGTGATGACATTGGAGTGTAAATCGGTTTGGATAAATGTGCTAAAGCCAAAATTTTACGAGGATGACTACAAAGAATTCCCACTATTAGAGCAGACTTTGGGGTAAAAATCAAAGATTTAGAGTAAAATGAAGCTTATGTACCTCGGTATAAATGAGAATGAAGGAATGCACCATAAAAAATGAAAAAAAAATACTGCGTAAAGAGTGCTATAGAGGGGTACGATTTATATTAGGAACTGAATTTAATTCTCAAAAAAGAATTTTGACCATTAATAACCTTGTTATCCCACTGGTTTAATACAGTTTGAATATCTTGAAATGGACTCTGAATTATATCAGCTAACTGGATTCTGAGACAAGGAATCTACTTTCTAAACATAGCATGCATCATCCAAGGGCTGATCTAGATCGTGTACACATATCACGTAAAGAAGTTTGAAGAGGTCTTATTCAGCTAAAATTGTCGCATAAGACAACAAATATTGGCTTACTAACATACATGGAAAGAAAGGACTAGATGATATAATTAGTCAACACGAAAACAGAAAGAAAAAATATTCAATCATGAAAAGAGGTTGTAAATAGAAACGAGATTTACATCTGATAGATTCTGTAGAACATTAAAGCAGAATCGAAGAACCAACTGTTGCAACAAAAATTATAAAAAAAGAAAGCTAAGTATAAAGCTCTTGAACAGATGAAACAATGATGGCAAGATAAACTTCTGCATGGCCAATATCCAGAACGAGGCTATTAAGTTAAGTATTATGTTAACACTCATCGATGGTTACGAGCATCTGGATTAAAGCCTGAAATGGAAGGCTTTATTCTTGCAGCACAAGGTCAGAGTCTTTTCACTTGAAACTTTCAGGCAAATATCTCTATCTATAAAAGGCAGAATGTGTGGACGGATTTGCACCAAAATTTACATGCACATGCTCCAAGTTAGCGGGAAGGCTAAGACCGACTTTGCATTTCCCAACGCCCATCGATAGTGGAAATAATCGATTTTTTCATGCTTCTACGTCAGTTTTAATTTAGGTTTTGACCATTTTGTACTGGTCAAAGTGAGAGCCAATAGCTGGCTACAACGAATAGGCAGGAAGATTCTATTGACCAGCGTGAGAGCCAACAGCTGACTGACGCGAATGTTAACTAGCATGCTAGCATGCAAGAAAAATCGATAGCTGCATTCGTCACAAGTGGGAAAAATTTAAATCTGCATGGCCCTTTACTCCAATTAGCTCATTCGCTTGCTTAAACTCAACGTTGATTCTGATTCCACAGAACTGGGTTAATGTGAAAAAGTATTTGTTGTTAACATTCTTTTTTCATTCGGTTTTTCCAGTTACGAGTCCTTTTTTAAAGCTGATTGTTTTGTGTTCATTTTGTTTAGTTCTTGTTTCGTAACAGATTTAATGTTTAGTATAGAGCTTAGAAAAAATTCGCAGTGTGAGATAGGCAAGAAGTAAGGCATGTAGCAACATCAGCATGGCAAAGGGCACTCCTTTAAAGGCAAGGAAGGGGAAAAATATTTTAAGTCAAGTGATAGCGATTGCTGTATGAGTCGTACGATTTTTTAATCAAGCACGGGCAACGCCGGGTCATGCTGCTAGTTAGTAACAATAGTGTGGATTCAAATGAAGACTCTGACAAATATCAGGAAACCGTAGACCATCTATTCTGTACCTGCGCCAAATGAATATAAAAATCATCGCGATAGAGTAGAACAATACTTACACTGAACAATGTGCAAACACTTTGGAAAAGATGTTAATAAATACAGTTATGAATATCACCCGGAAATAGCGACCAAGGAATGTGAAAAACTATCGAAATAAAGAGTTCTGAAAATCGAAATAGAAAACAAAATGTTGAAATTGTAAACAAGAATAGTACCAGTCATAGTAGGCGCGGTTGGAATGATGAAAAAAGTAACACAACAACAGAACAATTGAGAAAATCCCTGGAAATTCCTGCTTAAGAGAGATACGAAAAATGTCTTGATAAGTACAACCCACACATTAAGAACTTTGTCCATGTAACGTTCGTGTTGTTGTGGGAAGTAGAGAAGCAGATTATGAAATGTAACCATAGCAACATACCACTACCTGCCTTAGGTCTTCTTGCAGACTTGGTAGGTAATGAGACCATAGCAGAAATCAAAATATAATGATGATAATAATATTAAAATTATTATTACTATTATTATTATTATTAATAATAATAATAGAACTCCCAGAGAGGCATTACAAAATACTAAATAATAACAAATATCTAAAAGAAAATATTTAAAATTACTGATTTCAAAAGTTAACTCGGACCTTACATATGAAAACAGATTCATGGCATTCTGCTATGCTCAAATGTGTCAACTTTTCAGTGAATTTCCACTACGGAGATATAGATTAGAGGGGTCTCAGATTTTTATGGTTAGAATAAACCTCTTATATTCCAGCCTTCGTGGAGGTGGGAGATAGATCAATCAGATCCTTTTAAATGCTGCATTTTCATTTCTTACATTCGTAATTCTCAGAAATAAAAACTATGTCATGCTAAATTTTGTCTGAAAAATTCAACAATCTTTCTGCATCAATCCGCGAACAAGTCTTTGTAAAACAACCTCTACTCTCGCCTCAACGTGCAACTTTTCGGGGCGTATCACTCCGTAAGTTTATCTTTCTCATTCACGTTGTGTTTAATTTTTTTATCTGAGCTAGCCATAGGCAAAGCTTGTTAGAAATGTTCTCACGAGCGAGATGGTCATAAGAAAGATAAAAAGAATAAATAAGTTGTAGATAAACTAAAAGGGTTTATTTTTCCGTGGTTACATTAGATCACTTCCCAAATTCTATGGTGCTGGGTCTGCTAACAACAGGCAATTAGCGTGTTAGCATTTGTCAGTATTATTCACAGAATATCAGCAAAACATCAATAAAACCACGAATAGTAACTGGTTCAGCCATTCAATTAAACTTGTTATTGGGCTTGGTCTCCAAAATCTGATATTCACTTCTTCTATTCACTCGTCTGTGTGCAAATAAAAATTTCTTAGTCTGAAGAATGTTTTTCAGTTAATTATTGCTCGTCGATATCTTGCAACGAATAATGGAGTAGGTGGCGAAGATGGGTGGCGATATCAATTACTCGAATCTCTGTCGTCTTCTGGGGCCTTATATCCGTAGAAAATTTGTAGTTTTCTGTTTGCATGAGTATACGTTTCTTTCGGGAGTCAGTTTACAAGGCGATATGCATATTTGCATAGTAAATGGGTCAAGGCTATAGTCTGATGACATTATCCTCTAGTTACATACTGATTTTGCTTTAGACAAGGAAATATTGAAATCTTGTATTTCTATTGATAAAGTTATGGGTTGATTTAATATCTTTTATAAAACCTACAATATTTCACACACCCACGCTTTAAGATGTTTAAAGAGTGCTTATATACATTTTTTTTGGTGGGGGGTGGGGGTTCAAGCGACCGTATTGAACTCTGCTGTTTCGTCCAATTCTTCTTCTTTACAGGCACTAAAATGAAAGAAACATATTTAAAGGGATTATTTTAAATGATTCCTTATCTTGGTTATTATAAAAAAAATATTGTTCATAGAGTTCGAAGAAAATTATAAGAGAAAGCGTCACAAAACATAAAAGAGGATATGATAAAGAAAATTAGGAGGTAGATGTGTTTAAATGGGAATGATTTAGAAGACGACAAACAAAAAGAAAGTAGGCGCTATTTAGAAGATCATTATAGAAAATATGCGAATGAGCAAAAAAGTCGTATAATTCAGTGACAATTATTTTACATGACGAACTACACTATTTATTCCAATCTGTTCATATCTATCTATGTCAGTATATTCATATCTATATAACTGGGTGCTTTTTCACAACAAGTAACAGTAGCAAACATATGACAGCAATGATCTGACGCTTTATTTTGAATTGCTGCTTTGCTACATGTATGCATATTTATGCATATATATGCATAATTCTGCTTATATATATAAATATATATAAATGTATATATGTGTCTGTGTGTGTTTTATGCATATATACATATAACAAATGAACGATGCAAACAGGTGGCAGAAAGAATTTTAAAATAGAAACATTAAATTTACCTAAAACTATTTAGGCTATTTTCCGAAATAAAAGGAAAAAATTATATGATTAAAACATTTCGAAATACAAAATAAGAGTTTTCGTTTTATTGTAGCAATTTACAAAGTGAAGTTTAGATGCGGCACAAGATCGAAATTAAGGAGTACCTAGCAAAGATCGAATTCATTACTCAGTAGTAAATGATCTGGCAAGATAAGCTTATTATTTATCGATCGAGTTTATTCTCCTTTCGTTGATAGAAATATTATATATGTAGCAGAATCACGTTTACAAAAAACGCTAATGAAAATTCGATGTTATTTAAAAGTTTTTTTAGGTAAATCATTTTTTCTTTCATTTTGAAAATGTAAAGTTACCATTTAGTTTAATATATATTCGAATGAATTTCATTAGCAATTTTTTTTTACGACAGATCAGATTTGACCTTTAAATTTACGGTACAGGTTTTCAGTACCATTCAATACGCCATTGCATTGAAGAGAGTTTTGTTTTTTATCACAAAGTTCAGATAATTGTTCAAAGACTATAGTAGTCAAAAGTTAACAATACAACAACTTATAAGAAATTCGTAGACTATTAAATATAATAGTAGTCAAAAGTTAACAATACAACAACTTATAAGAAATTCGTAGACTATTAAATATAATAGTAGTCAAAAGTTAACAATACAACAACTTATAAGAAATTCGTAGACTATTAAATATAATATTATTGGTTCTTATAAACAAATAAGATAATACTGTGTATCAAATTGGAGAGATAAGGACTGTAGTTCTATGGCTTACTGGAGTGAAGCTTGTCAGTGCAGTCTTTGTAGCCAAATTGATTATGGTGTTGTCTCGGAAAGGCAGCGTAATCACTGTAAAGTGATCAGGTTTAAATTTCTCTAAAAGCTCTTTCTTCATTTTCAATCCATATTGCTTACTTATCAGCCGTAGACTAATAACCTGTGAGCTGTGATAAAAAGCCACAGGTAAAAAGAAAGCAACTATGTGTAACAAAGTAATAATAATCACGTTTAAATGCAGGTTATTGCAAGCAGTTTTCGAAATTGTTGGAAATTTATTCTTTATTATATTCACTGCCATCTTTTCATTTCAGCTTAATCACCAATGAAATGAAATAATCACCAATGAATTGAAATAATCACCAATGAATCCGTGGTAATAGCGTAACAATTGAAGTGTATCGGATATTTTTGAGAATTTGAAAAAGAAAATTACTTAGAAAAACGTAAATTCATATACTTATCACTGATTGATGATTATGTAAGAACAATTAGTGGATCTGTGAGATGTAAGGTAACCTATGTCAAAAAGCCAATGGTAGATTTTAAAGAGGTTTGGAAATTTTCTACACAATGAGATAATAATAAGCTTATCAATATATTGATAATTTTATAATATATTTTTGAAAAGTTCTCAGCTTTATCCTATTCCCCAAATCAATATTTTAATGAAAAAACTCGTCGATTAATTTAGTTTTCATTAGCAGAATGTGAGTTATTAATAAAAAAAGATCTTTTTACCTGTTATTTGTATATTTGTACTTCATCACGTCATCAAGAGTATCCTGCATCGGTTTGTTAGTTGTTTCAGGAAGAAAGATAATTAAAATCCCAGACACGAAACATGCAATTCCCATCACCAACAATGGGAGGCTTTTACCCACTCGACCAGAAACAAAAGTTGACTGACAAAAATAAAAATAAAAATTATATTAAAATCGGAACATAACAATTTTTAAGATGCGTTGCTTAAGCTTCGTGCGATTTGACTTTCGACATTAATGTCAGTGAAAAATATTTTATAGAGAGGATTTTAATATGAAGATGAAAATAAAAACAAAGTTTCTATTTCAATATTCTTTCTAGTAGGTGATAAATATTTTGGCGCAGCAAAATAGATCAGATTTCAAGTCCCCTTCTTAAAAGCAAAAACAATATATTCCATCGTTCTACTTCACTTTCCAGTTCAAAAGCTTCTCCTCGCCCTTGTGAGTGATGAATTATTTTCCACTCTACGACCTCTTTCCCACCGACTAAAGGTTGCAACCCACTCGCTACACTATCGCTATTTCCATGGAAAGTGTTCCGACGAACTACATTCCCCAGTTTGATCAGTTCTAACGTTCACCCGTACAAGACCCGTACATTGTAACGAACTACTTTCACTCCCTTCGTATTCAACTAGTCAAATCCAAGTTCCACTCAAACAGCTTCTTCCCACGAACCACTGTTTGGTGGAAACAACACCCAAGTGAATATTTTCCCCGATCACTACTATCTTAACCTGGTCATGTCCAACGTTAACTGTTATCTTCCACACATCCCATAAACTGTTCCTCTTACTCTGTAACCCTCTGCCTAGAGTAGCTCTTTAGCATTTTATATGATGAACATTATTGTAAATGTAACTCTAGCTCAGCAATGTTATTTGGGCTCAGGTTGAGCACAATTTTTAAGATTAACTATCTCAAAAATTGTACATAATAATAAAATAAAATAAAATCAGAAAGAGCCATTTGACATTTCTAGTGCACATAATGAGAAAAAAAAACTTGGAAAATTTAACAAACAGAGAACAAGTTGAAGACGGTTTTTGTAGAGTTGACTTTATTCAAAATAGCTCAAAATTAGGAAGGTCGTATTTAGAGAGGGTATTGAAGAAAACTAGGTAGGGGATAATAAAGATGAAGTTTATTAAATACTCGTACATAGAACGAAAAAACTTAAATAAATCAAATACTCTTCAAATCCTACTTAAATATAGCTACTTGCGATATTTATAAGTAAGAGCAGTCCATTATTACAGTAGTAGGGAAGAGAAGGAAATACGGTGAGTTCGACTCTACAAGACCTCCCCTTTTATTTTATATTCCTGAATCTTAATGAATGTCCCTTTTTTACTTGAATTCACCTCCAGTCACCTAGTACATTTTTTTCCAATCCTTGGTGTCGATAACACTTCGTCTGATATTATGGTAGCTACGGGCAGCTGAAATATGTCACACAAGATTTCGAATGGCAGGACTTTCGACCGGTGAGAGATTGTTTTTACAATCTCTCCGCCATAGCTGGTTTATATGTCTCTTGTGCAAACCATTTCGATTTTGAATCAAATATATTACTCGGCCAATTCGCCAAAATATCACACCGTCCTTCCACGAACATGGAAGGTATTTTTTTAAACAATACCTATCTCCGATTCGCAAGGGTTGCAATTATATTTTTTATTTCCCTTGTAATTCAAGCAACAATTTAGAGAATATAGTTCTTAATTTTCTTGAGAACATTAACACTGTGAGTGATTTCCTCGAGGTATTGTTAGGATTTGGTTTCTGTCTGTAGAAACATAGAAAATGCTGTAACATTTCCTCGTCCGTCCCCACCTCGTTAGCTTTTTCCTAATGCTTCTTTGAGAGTGCCGATGAAACGTTCTGCTTCTCTGTTGGATCTAGGGGGTAGGGGGTGATGTGTTACATGTTTCACCGCTTAAATCTTGCAGTAATTTTGAAATTCTCCGAACGTAAATTGAGTACCATTGTCTGATACAGTAGTGTCGGGTATTCTATATCTTATTGTGCCTCTCGTCGTAGCATTTTTGCACTGATAAATCTTGGGTCATTCGTATGTGTCCTGCATAATCCAAATATAACCTTGACCATCGTTCATTTGTTTTCGGAAGTTGTGTAGCACCGTGATCTCTTGTGTGATGAAGGGACACGGCTCGGAGAAGACGAATTACAACATCATATAAATACAGATCGAAGAAACGTGTCTGTATATACATGTTTACATGTTTCGAGATTACTCGAAGACAGGGCTTTGTATTACAACCATCATTATTGTTTCTTTTCTCGGTAGAATATTCCAAATTAAAGCAACCACACTTGAGCGCGAGTGTTTGAAAACATACCTGACTTATTTTCTTTAACCTGGTGTCAAACATTTAAATTAAACTGAAAACAATTTGTTCTAATGATTTTCAGTCCCTGTTCCCTTTAATGAAAAGCAGGTTCCACTCAAACAAATTCTTTCTCAGAACTTTTATTTTGTGAAACAAAGTCTCGAAATGATGCTTCCCTGACACATACCATCTTAGTCTCTTACATATATATATATATATATATATATATATATATATATATATATATATATATATATAGTGTTACTTTGAGAGACTGCTTTGGAAACCAAAATTACTGGTTTTTCAGTGGTTTTCTGAAAGGAAGGCATTTAAAGTAAGCAGGCTTTATGCTATAGAGTTCAATATCGAAGATAGCGGGTTAATGGAATTAATATGAAAAAAAAGTTTTTTCACTTAACTTTGCAGTGTTTTCGTCATGCTTACTTTGAAGTTTCCTGGTGACATAAATATGACTATTCGTAGAAGCGCAGTTGAACTGTTCCGCTTACAACTTCGAAGTAAGCAAGACAAAAAGACTGGCAAGTTAAGTGAAAAAAATCATAATAATTCTATATCTATAACGGCTGTAACAGCAACATTGTCCAACTCGTGTTAGATCATAATAGTCCATACATAAAATGATTAATATCTAAAAAAAATCGCTAAACTCATCGAGTTTCTTTTTTCCAGGTTTTTCAGAGAAGACGTTTAGCAATCTTGAAACCATTTGTCGTGAGAATCACTAAAAATCCATATGAGTAATTCATCTAGAAATAGAACAGGTTAAAATAATTTTGTGCCAGACCCACTGTCTTCCCAACTGAGCGAGATAAAAAAAATTCACTCAAGCCTTCAGTAATGGGACCAACATTCCTACTCTGGCTTCCATCAGTATCTGTCTATCTTTCTGAGATGAGGCATTATGTTCATTATTTATATTATTCGGACTATTGTCCTCATCTTTGTTGTCATATTTATCACAACATTTCGGCCGTTGTACGCTCCGGCTTTCTTCGGGTGGTTGGAATGTCGAACTGAACCCTTTATTTCGCTCACTGGGGTAAACTGTTCTAGTTCCACGTGCGATGTCTAATGGATGTCAGTTATCAGTTATCTCCTGTTAACTCCCCTCTCCAAGTTCTCCACCACCTTAACCGGATATTGAACTCACACTTTTTGGGTCCTGTCACTGGATCTAACTAACGCCTTTATCCACTGTGTCATGTGTTCTTGAGGACATCTTTGTATGAATTTCTTGGTATTATAAACCTAATATTTTCAGTATCGTTTTTTTTAACAGTGTTCATATTGCAATTTTTGCTGTTATCATTTATGTTTTTACCAGAGCTCATATTGCAATTTTCCTTGTTATTATCGCTTTTTCTCTGGCATTTCTTATCCTTATCTATTCTGAAATCGTCTAAAGTTTCCAGCATCTCGATTACAATTTTATCTGTCCAAGATGATTCGTTTCTGGACAATGACGATCTAATTTCAAATGTTAATACCTCAGGCACATTAAGTTTTTCTTTGTAGTAGGTTTAACTTCTCTATGCACACCGTTTGTTGTATTTTTTCTATCTTCATTAATTTTTTATGCACATTTTCTATCCTGTTATTCCCTTTATCATTTCATGCCTGATTTTTATGGTTATGCTTTATAATGTTTCTAATTATAAAATTTTCTCGTTTTCTGTCTGCTTGCTTGCATTTATTTGTAATGACTTTGCTTAATGTTTTATATTCTGTTCTATTCCTTCTGCTGCCTCTTTTTCATCAGCTTGAGATGTTCATCTGCCATCAACTTTATTTTTTATAGTCAGTAGTCATCGTCTCTTGGGATGAACATTTTTGCTGTCTTCACAAGTCTTTCTCAAAATGAAACACCTTGTTTCATTTTAAGATACTGACATTTTCCAAGATTTTACACTTGCGCTAAACTACGTCAACATATATTTTTACGCACACTAGGAAAATTATTTGCCCAAATGTTTACTATAGAAATGCATAGTTAATTATTTTACAGGAAAAGATGTTTTGAAAATCAGCGAGAGAATTCTATTGATTGGCTTATCTACTTGTTCTTACGGATTATTCATTACATAAGAATGAAGCAATCATTTATCAAGAATTAAGGTTATAATCTCTTACAAATTAGGATTATTTTATCTGTAAGTCTATTTCGGATAATAAGATCGATCATCAAATTATCAAAAAAATAGCAGCCACTTTCGAATTTTTTTAATAAAGAATGACATGATATAAAGTGACGTCACATAACATGAACGTAAAAAGATTATATTGAGTCAATTACTAAGTGTGCATCTAAGACAGTTTGTTCATTATGTCGTACGAGACAATATCTCTCTCCAATTGCCAGTCTTCGTCACTCCTTAATTTGCACTGTTTTACTCAAATTAAAATTTAATTATTAAAATAAATTAACTAAAGTAAAAATTAATAATTAAAAATTAATCAAATTAAGAAGTGACTAAGACTGGCAACTGCTACTCGAAATATTTCCATAAAATAAATCATTCGTTGGAACTACAAGTTTTTGCTTTTAAACCTGCACTGTTATTATTGACCTGGTATGACGGTTTCAGTTCATTTCCTACCGCCGTAACGAAGCATCCCTGTGCCTTTTCTATAGATGCTTTCATTGTAATTATTCTGGTGAACTTTCCACTATGTTTACTAGACTTTATGAATTTAAGTGCAATATTATTTTACAGATGATGTGGTTAGATGTAACCGTAAGTTCTATGCTAATAGTTTCTTCTGTTGCCCTTCTCGCTTGTTGACCTCTCTTCTGGCTTCTTGCTTTCCAGTCAACTTTGATCTTCAAAAATTTAAATGCAATCTCAATCGTTATCTTTTGTCTTTTTCATTATAGTTCGTATATTGTCTCTCTCCTTAATAGTATTTACCCTACATTCTCTAACACCCCGTAACCACTTACGCCAAAGTGGCGTTATTGCCTTGCTTTGGTTGGGGGGGGGCGATGAAAAATAGATTTAATTCGTACCGTTTCCATTTTATATCTAATACAGAAGGTGGTCTGAAATAAGATCATTGAATTCAAGCTTTATATAGAAATGTTTAAACCCTGTTTTAACGACGTATTATTCGATGCATTTACGCATGCGCATGTTCCCCTGTATCTTATAGCGTATAGGTTTATAATTAAACTATGTTAAAAAGGTATCATACATACGATGTTCATAACGTAGGGTGAGAGAAAGCCTCCAAGCCTGGAAAAGGCACCGAAAAATCCGACTGATGCATTTCGAATACATGTAGGGTAAAGTTCGCATGTATAAAGAAAGATAATTGAAGTAGCTCCTGATATACACATTCTACTGATTGTGCTCAGCGCCGTTATCGTCCAGAACTGATCTGAAAGGAAGAAAGTTAAAATCCGAATGTAATATTTAAAGAATAATGCAACACATATATTTTTGACAGCTTTATAGAACGTTACGCACAATAACTGAATCTTTTTGCTATCTTGATAAAATCCAAAGAATAATCTATAGTGTTATTGATTTTCTGGCATCTCAGTTTCAAACACTTTCTTACTGCACTAACGTAGCTTCCCTGAGTCTTGTCGATAAATGTTTTCACAGTAACCGTTCTAATGATTTTTCCTGTTTGTCATCTCGGCTTTATTAATTTAAGCGCGGTACTAGATTAGTATATAGGACTTATCATTTATAGTTTAAATTACTAAATATAACTGTAAGTTGTATGCTATCATTTTCTTTTCTCGCACTTCTGGTATGAGGAATTCTCTACCGGCGTTTTGCATTCCAGTAAACTTTGATTTTCACAAATCAAGATATATTATACACAAGATTTCAGATTGGTTAAATGCTGAAATGTAATACTTAATAAACACGTAGTTTCCACCGTATCTTTCAACAGAGTCCCTTGCCTGTACTTGTATGGAATTAACACACTAATTCCATCTACATTTTACGCGCGCGCGAGTTTTTCTCCCTTCCTTCCACACTCGTGCGTGTTGCGCGCGGTTTGCACCCCTTCCTCTCTCTCTTACAGCTAGACGTAGGAGTAAACGTCCTTTAACTAGTGAGGAAAGTCGCTATAGCTCCTGCTGATGAAGTCAGCCGAACAGATTTTGAATCTTTTCCCGCGCGTTTCCTAGCGTCTCAAACGAACAGCGTTTGCAAGCCAGTTGCTTCCCGATCTTCAACCTGACTAGACGGGCAACTCATTTATTCCGTGACCTTAACCCATATGCGGGCCGGAATATCTTATTTCAACATGTCGACCTCACACTTTACCAAGACTTCTTCTCGTCTTGAAGCTATCCGCAGGTCAGACCTTCTCCGTTTTCGACTAGAAAACGTGCGAGACACACGACACAGTCGTAGGCAGAACTTCGTATTCAACAAGTGACTTATTTTTATCCCTCGTCAGTCAACCATAATACAGACAGGGATACCTTACTGACGAACAAATATTCTTCGTCCCTTTTGGCTCGCCGTAAGCAAATTCACTAAGACGATGCAACTCACAACAAATAATTCTTCGTCTCTCTTGACTCGCCATAAGTAATTTCACCAAGACGATGCAACCAACTGCAAATAACTCCTCGTCCTTTTGGCTAGACGTCCACATTCTTCGTCTCTCTTGACTCGCCATAAGTAATTTCACTAAGACAATGCAACGAAGTGCAAATAACTCTTCGTCCTTTTGGCTAGACGTCCTCATCAATCCGATAAAATTTCCAGCAGTTAATTCAATGCCTGACCAAAACTCTGAGACGACTGAACTTTCAAACTACTTTGAACCTGAACATAAAAAAAGATAAAAACACAAAAATCACATACACTCACAATGCCAAAATCCACAGTGAGTACCTTTTATCTGTGCGCACCTACACCTCGTGTTAACGAGTCCTTTTTCCAGAACCTTATAAAAACCCTTTTCCCGCCTTGTCCATCTTGCTTTCCTGTTTTGGCGCGGAACATTTTCTCTGATCTCGTACAACGAGATACCTACTTGTTTTGCATCCAGACGCCTTTGTCATTTTATTCAGGCTATCTCTTTAATATTTATAATTTATGCACTTGTTGACTGACCCCTTTTCCTCTCACTGTTCATTCACGCATTTTTTTTATACATTGTTTGTGGACTCGGTAGTTTAGTGTAGTGGCTGGCACAAGGCCACTTTTAATAAACCAGCGCTGCACATTCATTACCGGGTCTGCAACACTTGCACAATAGCACCTAAATATTACTGATCACGAAGGGTCGTGGTATATGTGCACACTACGTTCCCTTTGGGCTTTCCGTTCAAGTGATAGAACTTTAATTTTTATAGCATATCTTTTTTATTAAATCTGTTCAATTATGTTTAATAAATTATTTCTTAAACAACAATAAGAGGAAATAAAACATGTCTTCATTACATTGTTTCAAAAATGTCAATAATTTTCCAATATCGAAATAGTTTATCCCGATAACACAAAATAACCCCGCTGGTTAATAACATATGAAAATTATAAGCTCTTACCTTTTGTTGCGTACAGGTATGGGAAGATGGTAAGGATACCAGTTATACCACCAGTGATCATGAAAGAAAAAGTCAATTTCTTTCTTCCAAATCGATCCACAAACAAGACGGCGAAAAGAATCATGAAGATTTCGACTAGAGAACTCAGAAGAAAATTCAAGTAAATATTACCCGCCAGAACACCGATGTTCATCGTCAATCCGTAGTAAACAAATATCACTGTTACCCTAGGGAAATCAGAAAAAATAAGCGTTAAAATGTCAAAGTAATTTAAGAAAAAAGACGTAAAGTAATGAATATAACAAAATGTCTTTGAACTCTGGTGTGTAAGGAGAAAGTACAATATACATAAAGCTTGGATCTACATTTAGCCATAGTGGAGTCACTATTTCGTCACTTGAATCCTTGCAACAAATTGTTCTATCTCTCACTGAATAATTTATCTGTGTAATCAAAAATCTAAGTGCAAAAGTTTACAAAATCAAAAAATAATTTTATAAATCATTAATAATTTGAAATAATTTTATAAATCATTAATAATTTGAAATAATTTTATAAATCATTAATAATTTAAAATAATTTTGGCTGTTTCTTTTTCTTTGTGTTCGACCATAATCTATCGGGTCAGTTCCATATTTAATGCTTATCCTAATTAGTTAACTTAACATGCCACTCCATATTACCCACCTTATTTGACTCAGTGTTGCAACACACACCCAACCTTCGCCAAGTAACTTATACTTTTCTACCTTTATCTTAATCTGTTATAATGCTTGTGTAAGCTCGTAGTTTCTGGTTAATAATATTGTAAGGAAAATTTGGAACAAAAAATTAAAGAAAAAGTGTAATTATATGAGGGACATGAACTGATATTACAATAATACCGTAATTTCGTGCGGCAATGCGCACCAATCGACTGTACTGTCCACTTTGCAAGCATGTTCCCATATAATCAATGGGCTAGTATATGTTAATACGTTCTACATATAATCAATGGACTAGTCTATATTAAAACATTAATGTAACTTGTCGGTCGTCTATCTACGCAACACCTCCCTATAGATAACTATTCTCTTTTGAATACGTATTATATTCTTTATGGTTCATTTCCAACACTCCCATTTGATTTTCTTTTATCAACATCGCGTTTTTATAATTGAATTTTGGCAATCAAAATATCGCATAGCACCTCCGTAAATAAATCTCTTTGTTGGATTTTATTTCCTTGTCATGTATTGCTTTTCATTGGTTTAAATGCCTTTTAGTTCGCCAACTATGACCTTGTAGCATAAACATATCATTTCACCATCTTCCCAAGTTTCTTACTGTGCATTATAAGTTCTGAAGAAAATCTTATCTCCAGCTTTGGAATATTTTATTATTTTTCTTCCAGGTAGTAATTTGGCAAAAACTGATTTAATTTTTCTGGCAAACATTGGTTTCGATGGTGATATCTTCGGTGCAGTGTTAGGGTTCGGGGTCAGTCTGTAAATACTTAAAAACTGTTGGAGTATTAATTTTTACTTCTCTCTGTTTGATTTGTTTAACGTCCTTTTGAACGTATAAATAAACGTGCAATCCGAATTTTTGATCTTGGGTTGTATGGCGGCGTTGTTGTATGTTCAACTGCATAGTATTTTCCAAAATTTTAAGTCACTCAAAGTAAATTGCATGCCATTTTCAAACAGTATAGTATCTGGAACTCCAAGTCTAGAAAACAGTTAATTAAAAAAAAGTTTACAATTACGGTGAAAGTAAGACTTCTACACTTAAATATTTCAAGCCATTTTGAAAAAATTACTGACGATAACCAGATAGTATGCACGATTCAAAGATCCCGCGTAATAACCTTACAATCTAGACCAAGGTTTATCAGTATTTACAGGTCGTAATATTGCCGCTGAAGCACGATCTTTGCCTCACTTGACTTTTGAATATCCCTGTCCATTTTAGGTCAATATAGGTAACTTCTCATAAAGGATTTACTTCTTGACACACCAAAATGTCTAGCATAAAAGTGCTTTAAAATTTTGTTTTGCAACAAAGCAGGAATTACTACTTTCAGCGTACATCAGTACTTCATCACAGATGGAAAAATACTTATTTGCAGTATCACCTGGTTTATTTCTTCTTTATTTCCATCTTACTCCCTTTTCATTCATCACTTTTAAAATGTAGTAATCCTTCTGTGATTATATTTTAATTTCGCTCAAAGTCAACCTTATTATCACAAAACGCTTTTATCTCATTTTCAGAAATTAAAAAATCAATCATCATCAAAATATTCCTTAAATTTTGAGAATTATCTTCACAAATAATCTGCATGTTTCAATTCTTTTCATAATAAATACTCCATCTTAATATCATAGTCTTGTAAAATCGTTTCCTAATGTTGATACCTTTTGGTAGTATATTTCGGAATACCTTCTTTACAAGAAAAAATATGGGCGGTGATCTGTTTGAAGAATAAATTTCCTGTCGTGTATCATTTCGTTTTTTTTTTCACACCAAAAGTAATAGCTCGCATTTCTTTTTCAGTTCCTATTAGCGTTCTAGATGGATGGGCAATTGCTTTTATTTTACAATCCTTTAATTTATTACAAATAACTGCCCCAATGAGCACTAGAATCTGATGCAATTATTATTATCATGATTGAAATGCGTTAACGTTGTTCCGATATTAACATGTTAACAAGACTTGTGAAGACATAAGTTCCACATTGCACATGTTTTAAAAAATTTAATTAAAGGCGTTTTCAATTTATATATGCTAGGCACATAAAGATTGTCATGATCCCTCCAATTACTGTAAAGTAGCAACGTTATTTTTGATCTCACTCGTCCTTGATGGGTCTGGTTTACATTCTTGTATCAATTATTTGACCTAAGTATTTTATATTGCTCTTGAAAAAATAGCATTTTTCCTCATTGAGTTTGAACTCTTAATCCTCTATTCTCTGGAATTCTTGATGTATGTGATCTGCATGTTGCAGTCTTGTTTCGCTTTTTATGAGTACGTCATCCAAATATGCAACGGCATAATCTAAGCTAGATATTATTGTATTAATTACTTGCTGGAAAATAGTTGGTGCCACTGTAAAACCGTCTTTTACTACTTATGTATGTTAATTGCTAAAATTTCCTACATTTTCATCAACTTCAGTTAGTAAGTATGTATCTGACAGGTCATTCTTTTAAAAAAAATCTTCACCCTTTTAATTTAGAAAAGAATTTCTGTGGATGGTAACGGTATGTGTCAGGTAGAAGACACTCATTGCCCTCTAGAAAAAAATCTACACATACAAGAATATCATTTTCTTTTTCTACACATACTGTTGGAACTGCCCACTCAGAATAATCTGTGAGCGAAATAACTCCTAGAATTTTTAATCTGTCAAGTTCTTTGTTAATGGGTTCCGCAATTGCAAATGGCACATTACGTTTAGGTTTGAAACAGGAACTACATTTTTATTTAAGTGAAAAATTGCCTTCGTCTTATTTTCCATTCCAAGACCTTCGGAGTCCACTGTAGGAAAATTCTTTTTAACTCCTTTCATTTACATCACAAATCGAACAGTTCTATCCAATGCTAATAAATTCAACGTATTATTTTTAATACGAATACCTTAGTTTATAAAGTTTTTCTTTTCTTTGTATCACACGAAACCTTACATACTATTTTACCACGAAAAAATGTTTTTCCTGAGACGCCACTTGCAACTTTTTGGTTTACTTAATTTAAATTCACCAATAATTTTCAACGAGTTTTCAATAATTATAGTAAATTTGATGCCTGTGTCTATCTGAAATTTTACTACAACGTTATTCATCATAACCATCACAAATTTTCGGTTTTGTGCCTCATTCAGGTTTTGAGTTGTCAATATGTCTTACATATTTTGCTTTCTTTTCATTTGCATATATTTTTCTGTGATCCAGTTTTTCACATTGAAAACACTTTTGATTTTTTAAATGAGCAATCCACCTTAAAATGAAGTTCTTCGCAACCGTAACACGGGTGTGGTGTAGTTATTCCTCTTTCATTATTTTTTTATCTTATGGTCGCACAGTCTGTACTTATACAATATCTTTTTCTTAAAGTTTTGCAGTATCGTATCTTAAACTTAGAAATATTTGACATTCTTCTGACACATTCAGTAAGGTTAATTTTTGGTCCTGGTCAAGTTTTTTTTTAAATGCGCGAACGAATTTCTGCGTCTTCACTCGAAGTTAACCCTTGCACAAAAATTAAACATTTAAACATATGTGTATATGGTTCGTTCAGTTAAATTTTTCGCATTTTCTATTGGAAATACCAGCATAAGCAATAAAATATTCGTCATAATTTTTGTGAGATTTAAGCAAGGCCAACGTGTATGAAATAAGGAGCTTCTTTCGCTTAAAAAGTAAGACAAAATTAAAATATTAACGTAATATTTCCTGGTTTTTCAGGTAAAATGTAATTACAGTATTTTTCTTGTTCTGGCGGAGACAATTTCTTTAAAAGTAAATGTACCTTTTTTCCATCTGACCACCCATGGCAATCTTTTTTGAAAATTTCTTCACACTTTCTGTAATACAACAAAAGCATAACAGCTTCTTCAGGATTTCCGCCATATTGCGCGTTTTTTAAGTCCGCCATATTGCGCGTTTTTTAAGTCCGCCATATTGCGCGTTTTTTAAGTACGCCATATTGCGCGTTTTTTAAGTCCGCCATATTGCGCGTTTTTTAAGTCCGCCATATTGCGCGTTTTTTAAGTACGCCATATTGCGCGTTTTTAAGTACGCCATATTGCGCGTTTCTTAAGTCCGCCATATTGCGCGTTTTTAAGTCCGCCATATTGCGCGTTTTTTAAGTCCGCCATATTGCGCGTTTTTTAAGTACGCCATATTGCGCGTTTTTTAAGTCCGCCATATTGCGCGTTTTTTAAGTACGCCATATTGCGCGTTTTTTAAGTCCGCCATATTGCGCGTTTTTTAAGTCCGCCATATTGCGCGTTTTTAAGTACGCCATATTGCGCGTTTTTAAGTCCGCCATATTGCGCGTTTTTAAGTACGCCATATTGCGCGTTTTTTAAGTCCGCCATATTGCGCGTTTTTAAGTCCGCCATATTGCGCGTTTTTTTAAGTCCGCCATATTGCGCGTTTTTAAGTACGCCATATTGCGCGTTTTTAAGTCCGCCATATTGCGCGTTTTTTAAGTACGCCATATTGCGCGTGTCTTAAGTCCTTGGTTGATGTGAGTTCAAATATCCTTATAATGTCAGAATGATTATTTTTTCAAATGTGAGTTTCGCGTCCTCCTCACCAATCTTATAATGTTAGTATAATCTTGCAGTTCTCGTCAATAAGATTGTATGAAAAATAAAATATTAAAGACGAAAATGATTAATCACACGAGGGACATGGATTAATAATACAATAATAGGGGCTACCATAGTTCCGTACGGAAATGCCTACGACCCACTTCGCGACCATGTTCCCATCTTCTACTCATGGTCAATGGACGAGTCTATGTTTAAATATTAGTGTAAATAATGCCAGTCGTCTTTCTCCACAAAATAAACATAATCTGTTTTTAAAGAAGGCGTATCCCGCCGAATAATATGAAGAAAAAAAACGAATTATGTTTTTTGCTATCGAACAGAGCCAGTTTGTTACAGGTGGAACTGACTTCCAAGAATTGTTCCTGGGGTATGCACTGTATGTAGATTTCAACAGGCCTGTCACCGTCTCATAAAAACAGATTTTATTTCAAACTAACTCTATATTGGCATTGCTATTGGATACATCGTCGGCATAGAGTAGAGTATTTTGGTATGAGTAGCAACATGTCCGATATCCGGTCGTCGAGATACAATTAACGGTTTTGGATAGCGCCACGCGCTTATATCTTCTTTCATGCATGATAGATCTGTTTTTAAACTTGTACATATTTTGTAATTCCAGGTTTCCATTGAAGAAAGTGAATATTTAAAATATAAACTATTGAAAAAAATACTGTTAAAAAATTTCCAAAACGTGCAACTGATTCAGATAGATTACACAGACAGATTGAAAAGTAACAACAACAGGATTCTACACATGTTGCCTCTACATGGGATATTTTTCCAACAATGTTTTTCAATGAAGAAACAACCAATGACAGTTTTGAGCCAGAGAGATAGACAAAGAGAACTTACAGTCTCTAGATATGCCATGGAACTTGGACATGATGTTCTAACACCTCTTTGTTAGACCTACATGATATGGACCGTCTTTGTCCAAGCCTTAACTTAAAGGACATTATCATTGATATGTCAAGAATAGACAAGGAAAAGGATAGATTGAAAGCTGCCACCCATCAGAAGCATGTCCAGAACCATGAAAATATTATCTGCATTGGTGTTAATTGCAGAGTTGGTCAAGACGTTTTCTAATACAAAGAGATTACAAAGGAAAACGCCGAAAAAAATAAAGAAAACCAAATGACCAGAGCGCCACTTGACTTTCATCCGAGATGAACACGGAAAGTATATATGTGACCCATAGCGTTATTCCTAACATTGTCGCAACTGGAGTTGTTCTAGCAGAGAATGTGGCAGCTTTTTAGAGGAATTCAACAGTGTAACTTCCATTAAGGCAGTTCTTGTGGACAAGAACTGGTACAAATACTGGTTGAGAAATAGAGCTTGTTACAGCTCAGGAGAAAAACAAAACTTAAAAGAAAGTTTCACATCATTGGCTGTTCACTTCATCAAAATCAGCCACTATCCGTTTCACCGACTGTATGTGATTACAGTGCCTGGTATTCCCAAGCGATCATACATCTTGGTATGAACAAGTCTCAACTTTGCTTACCTTCGCTGATTGTACCGGAACGGGTGTTTCAACGTGATATGGCCGTAGGCTGTATTTAAAATAGAACTCTCTTTTATACATAAGTAACGGAATATACAAAGAATATATATACATATGTATTTTTAATTGTTATTTTTAGAACATTTTCCTATTTGAATAGGCGCTCTGTTTATTTATTAACAGTAATCAAAGTAATTTTCTAAAGAAGTAATGATTTTTTTTATTAATCAGACTAATTTACCGCTTAAAACATTATATTTAGTGGATACTCATATCTGAGTAGACGTTCCATTTATTAATGAAACAATTATTGATGATCGGCAAATGACCAAGATAAAGTTTAAAATGATCAAATTTGTCGGATTAATAAATAAAAAAATCATTACTCCTTCAGAATACCGCTTTATGTTTAGATACGAAACTGCAGATATGCAATTTTAGAGAGTCTATGACGAGAAGGAGTGCGCTTAAAGGTACTATTCAATCTGGCCTGATCGGTAAAAGTTCTTCGTAGCTCAGTCGGTTAGGACACGTCGCATCTAAAGACAATCCTCTCTGCTCAGGGAGACTCAGTTTCGGAGAGCGTATATTTTTTCGATTTTTCAAATATTCATATCGATAAACAAAAATATAATATATACTGTTAATAAATAAACGGAACGTCTAATCAAATATGACTATCCACCCAAATAATGTCGGATTACCAATTAGAAAAAATCTATTACTTCTTTGGAAAATACATATATATCTCCTCTCTCTCTCTCTCTCTCTCTCTCTATATATATATATATATATATATATATATATATATATATATATATATATGAATGTGTGTATTTATGTGTGATTCAGTGTATATAATTTAGTGTGTGCTTTAAATAGAATAGAGGTGGGAGAGATAGTGTTTGGTACTATTGGAGTGTATTAGGATGACAAAAGATATAGCGTTGTGAAAAATAAAAATATAAATATAATTCTTACGATATGAACATCAAAATTAATGTTTTTTTCAGAAGAGCACGAACAGTGAAAATTTTCCATATTTTGACGGTTCTGACATTGCTGTTAGATATTTCTTTTTCATTTTCCGATTCATAACGAAAGTTATTCTTGTTTATTTGTGCCATTTCCTTTAAGATTTTTCCTGCTTGCTTTTCTTTCTTTGCATTGATCAGCCAACGTGGTGATTCGGGCATAACCCTAAAACGATAAAAAATAAAGTGATACTTTTTTTATCATTTCACCTCAAGCAAGGAAGTAAAGCCACTACGACACAAAAGGTTACGGAATGTGAAAGAATAGAAAAACAGAAAGATATTATTAAGATGCGAGATCAATAAAACAAGAGGAACCAAAAAACAGTAGATTAAGGATTGACATTGCATTTTAAAATTTAAGATTAGATTTGATTGGAAAGCAAAGAGCCGGGATAGAGTTCCACAAGCGAGTAATTGAACTAGCTAATGCCATTATGAGTTGATGGGACGTTTTTGCTAAACTAATATCACGCTTAAATTCATAAAGTCGAGGTACCATAGTGAAGAATTCATTTACCAAGAAAGTATTTATAGAAATGGCACACCGAAATTACGTTACGAGGATGGAAAAGTATTTGAAGCCTAGACGCCATGTCAAGACCAGTCATATTGCTGATTCTTCTTTGGAATTTATCAAGAATCTCTAAATGTATAGCAGGAGCACCGGGCTATATGTGGCAGAAATATTAAAAAAAAAAAAGGTGTCAGCCCTACTGCATGCGAAGACTTTTTGAGGAAATTTAATATTTATTCGAGTTGAATGTAAAAGAAATATTTGAGAAAATGAATTAACAGAAATTCTTCTTTTCTTACATGCCATGTGTGATCTGTAGGCGATCGTTTCTTTTCGATTTATGATTCACTTGACAGAAGAATTCTCGCGGTCAGTTTCTTTCTGCACTAGACCGTTTGCCAACCAAGTTCATAGGAACTTGTTCATCCTGCTATTTACCCCATAGTTGGAGAGAGAACAGATGGATTCATACATTTCTCAAATATATTTGAGTATAGTGATAATCACCTCACAGATTTCTCCTTCTGAGCCCTTATCTATCATACCACAAGCTCACCCAAACTTAAAGCATTAGACTAGATTCGCTGTTTCAAGTTGATATAGCCGTAAACCAGTAATTCTACTGTTCATATTAATAATATCTTAAAAAAGAAAACAAAATAATTAATGCCTCTAGAAGTGTAACTAATTTATTTTTACCAATTTATTCAAAAGAAAATATAAAATCCTTTTACAGTAGAAAAATTATTGCAAACTGAATGAACAACATCACCATATACTTCATGTCTTTTTGGATTTTTTTTTCTGAGAATCTCCCTCTTGTTATTTGTCATCTCTCCTTCGTATGATCAATTTCAGTTCAAACATATAAAAACACAACGAATGATGGCTGTGTGGATTGAAATTTTAATTAGTAAAGCGAACATTTCGTTTCCGATGAAATATTAATACGTGTATTATATTGCATTACATAGCGTTAATTTCTAAAATCTTATGAAGCGATTTGAATGAAAATGTGAAAAGTTGGAAGTCGGTTTCTGAACCTAGATCACAATGAATAGTCTGATTACTGAAGATTTTTTTTATCCAGGTATTCTTTTCTCCATTTGGAATATTTCAGTTACTAAATCTTTCTTATTTCCATTTGTAATTAAAACAGTACTTTCCGTATTTTTATTGTAATTTAATTTCCTGGTGAAGGTTGTAAATTATGAATATTTTTAATAAAATACTTACCACATCGTTAAAAAGGCCAGTGGTAATAATGGTGCCGAGATGAGTATCATTAACACTTTCCAGTCTCTTATAAAGTATGCGATTAGAGAAATTAAAATAAAAGCAAAAGGAAAAACCATTTGTAGTGCCAGTGCCGGCCGGGATCGATACTTCATTGATGTAATTTCTGTGACTGAAAGATACAGAATAGAATAGTGGGTTAGAAAAACAGATGCGTACATATTTCTGTCGAGGAGGGATTCGCAGTTTCAAGTTTCGCTTGGTTATTTCATACTTCAAAGAATTCTATCTTTGCAAGGTCTCCCGCACTTTTGCAAAACTTAACCGAGTAAATATATGTGGTCTGAGACTTGTCTGAAATAATTACCTTTTTCCTGTTTGTGTCAGAGGTCGAACCCATCTAAAATTCAAGAATGCTGTGTTTCGAGGCAGTTATGCGATCCCCACTTGAGACATTCATATAACACCAATATATCACCATCTATATTACCTTGTTCTGAAGAAAAATATATGAAAAAACAAAAATCCGAATATGCAAGTATGCTGTTTTAATGTTGTTTCAATGTCGACATCAGACGTTTCGGTCTAGTAGACCTTCTTCAGGATATAGTTATTAAAACATAATTAACATTAGACGATATTCAAATCAATATGAAAAGACGATAGACATAAGACTAATCAAAACAGAATAACTGAAATTTTTAAGATCAGCGTTTCGTTTCGCAATATGATCACGTCGGTGTCAATCTGATCATAATTTCGATTTTGATTCTGTGAAGATTTTAAAATATATTCATAATAAAAATCTTAGACGGATTTATGAGGCAGGCATAATATCTATCTCACGCACGGTGAATACTAGACCCGGCTTCTTTAATATTTCCCCTTTTCTGGCAAGATTAATGCTGGACAAACATACTTATAAATTTGAGATAAAAATAAAATTCTTTTTCATTTGAAATATACTCTATTTTAGGAATACGTTTTCACAACATCGCCCACGTAAAATCTGTATATATATATTTTTTATATGAGTGGTATGCATATTTTTGGTACAATATGCTATACATATGTCGACCACAGGGCAAAACTAGATTCAAAAAGTAAAAGGGGCATATTTATTGGGTATGACAAGACAATTCCAGCCTATATGATTTATTTGCCAAAACTAAAATGATAAGGAAGATCAGATGCGTCAGATTTACAGATTCCTTTGAGCCAGGGGGGGAACCCGAAGAAAAGAACATTAACTGCGAGTAGCTGGTCCAACACGAACTAGTATGGCCATATTATGGGCCTATAAGTAGAAAACCCGTTCAAAATCCACAATCAGAGGAAGGTGTTATACCAGATGATGTAGACGAGGAAAAATCAGACGCAAAACATGAGTTAAAAGAAAATGCAACTTCTGAGGGGGGATAAATTCCGCGTTATCCGACAAGAAATAGAAGAAAGCCGGACTATTTTGGATTGGCTCAATGTAATATCTGTGACATCGACTATTGCTATTCGGTACAATGTATCCCAAAGAACTATCAAGAAGCCATACATTCTGTCAATTTCAAACGCTGGATAGCTGCCATGCAAAAAGAAATTAAATCTTTCGTATCAAACGACACTTTTGAATTGAAAAAGGCTCCGGATGATAAAAATATTATTGGCAGCCGTTGGGTTTATACTGTAAAGCGAACTGAGGATGGATCGCCAGTGTACAAGGCTAGTTTTGTAGCTAAAGGATTTTTGCAGATATACGGGAAAGATTATGTAGAAAATTCAGTCCAACAATAAACATGACAACAATTAGAATTTTGATGCAAATGGCCGCACATTATGGTATGGATCTACAGCATATGGATGTTAAAGCAACTTATTTGAATGCTGCCATACTATGAAATATACATAGAACCGCCAGAAGGTCTTGATGAAGGTGATAATTATGTATGGAAACTTAAAAAGTCACTATATGGACTTAAACAGAGCGGAAGAACATAATAAATTAATCCATTCTTATTTAATTGAACAACAATTTGAATCCTCCCAAGTTGACCCATGTTTGTACACAAGAACATTTAATAATAAAATATTAGTAATTCTGATTATTTGGGTCGACGATATGTTAATTGCATCAAACTATGAAGCCGCTCTATTTAAAATCAAAAATTCCCTAAAATAAGGTTTAAAATGACCGACTATCATGGTTTCTTGGTATACAGTACGAATTTAAGGGCAACACTATTACAATGAATCAATCTAGATACATCGAAAGGCTCTTATCTAAATTCAGCATGCAAAATTGTAAAACACGAACTACTCCATGTGAAAATGGATTTAAACACAATTATGAATAATGAAGATGGTATAACGGTGTGTGAGAAAGAATACAGAACATTGGTTGGCAGTCTTATTTACGTGATGACATCAACCAGGCCAGATATCTGCTATACGGTTACTAAGTTGTCCCAAAACTTAAATAAACCAGGGACTATGCATTTAACAAGAGCTAAGCAAGTATTACGTTATCTAATGGGAACTAAGAGTCGGTGCCTCGTATTTCGACAATCAGATAAACCATTAAAATTGGAAGGATTTTGTGATGCTGATTGGGCAAACTCACCAGATCGTAAAAGTATAACAGGCTATTGCTTTAAGCTAGCAGACGGTAATCCAATAATCAGCTGGAAATCTAAGAAACGGAATGATTTCACTTTCTACTTGTGAAGCGGAATATGTTGCATTATCAAAAGCAAGAGGCTATTTTTCTTAAATTACTAATAAAAACAATTACCATACTGGTAATAAGTGAGCCAATACTTATTTCCTGCGACAATCAGGCCAGTATTGCTTTGGCTAGAAATCCAATAATACATCAAAGATCAAAGCATATCGATATTAAATATCAATTTGTTAGGGATCTGGTACAAAAGAGGACAGTACAAATTGAATACGTTCAATAGGAAGATAATGTGACGGATTTATTTACAAAGCCATTTACGAAATTGAAATTACGGGCTTTCACTTCTACCATATTTGGTACTGACATTCTGTCCTTATAAGTCCTGGGCAAGATGTAAAACCGCATCCATTAAGTCCCTCTTACGTCCTTATTAGTCCTGGGCAAGACGTAAAACTGCATCCATTAAGTCCCGCTTAGGTCGTTATTAGTCCTGGGTAAGACGTAAAACTGCATCCATTAGTTATTGTCTTAAGAAACGTCAGTTCAGTTTTTGGTATGAATGTGAGTCCTTAGTTTCGGGGTATGAATGTAAATAGTCCTACTTTTAGCCCAATCCTCCTCTAATGACGCTCAGGATCACTCTGATCCGGAGTGATAGTGACTGTTTTAATGGGTCTCAGCTATGGGTAAAATAACATTTTTTTCTACTTTTTTGTTGTGATCAAACCCAAATTTATAATATTGTTGCTAATGTTTATTAACCTGAAGTACTTAACTGTGGATAAAGTGATTTGACTAATTTTTGTGGATATTAATTTTCTTTAATAATAAAAAAAAATTAAAAAAATAAAAAATAAAAATAAAATTTATTTTATGAATGGTAAAAAAAAAATTCGGAATGCTAAAGTATGTGTTCCATATTAATATTGACTTTACTAATATTTTAAAAGAAGATTCCATAATGTACCCAAAATGAGGGGGTTTGTTACAATTTTTGGATACATTATGTACTAGGCTATTTATTGTATATAAAAATACAATTGTGGCACAAGGCCGAAAAGGGGAGGGGTAAAGGCTGGTCTTCACTAACTATCTTATACCTAGCTAATCAGATTCACGACCCATTCATACATTACAATTTACTCATTCACCACAAGAACTTGTCCATCACCAACCAATCCTTCATGCACCATAATACCAGATTCTCACAAGGGGGACCTACCAAAACGCGCCCCAATCCATAAAAATTTGATGATACATAAAATGCTATACATAAAATTCTAATAATGATAAGATGCAAGGGGAGGGAGATGAACCCCAGAAATAACTAAAAATATACACAAAATACAAACTAAACATAACATATGTTAGTAGGGACCGTCCAACCCTCAAAACAGAGAGGCCGCTGTATTCTGCCCAGAGGACAAAATCAAGAAGCACTCTCGCTAAGGGAGTGGGAAAAGAGGATAAAATATTATGCCGGAATGGGTAATATAATGCTGACCCAGTCAAGATGAAAAGGGGGGACCAAAACAAACTGGGGAGGTTGGGAATCTCGACTTGGACCATAACCAAAGAGCAGCCGGGATACAGGCCAGGAACGACACTTACTCACATTAACTAGGTACACTGAAGCTTGTCTAACCTAACCAAGGGGAGGGTTCCACAGGAAGCCACCCCGATGTGCTATAGGTTGACCTAAAAAAGAAAATCAAGGCTAGCCCCGGTCACACGAACCAGGCTTGCTACTTTTACCCACCTTTCGCTGAAGACTGTCGAATGCAATCGTTTTCTATCAGATCTAATCTTCATCTTGAGCTGATGCTCAAAGAATTGGATTAGATGCTGATAAGAAAGACGGTTGCCCCGCAAGACTTCCTCCATTCGCGTCGTCCAAATCACCATTCGAGCCGTGGCCATCAGCATCAGAAACACCATTCGTTTCTCCCCGGAATACGGGGGCGACACATTGTCACACGCGTATGCGCGATCAATGGACACAAGCTGTTCGGGAGCGAGACGAGCCGTCAGCTCGCCGACATGGTTCCATAAGGGGCGGACCCGGGGCAATGGTAGAAGGCGTGCGCAGCCGTTTCTTCTAAACCAAGACCACCGTTCACAGTCTGGCAAATCCGCCAAACCCCATATGAAAGCCTTGTCATTGAGAGGCAGCCGATTCCGAGCCAATCGCCAGGTAAGCGAAAACTCAGGGTTACTGAGGTAATCCGCCGCTGGCGCCAAGACCAATAGGAGCGATACTCTTCCTCCGACAAGCCGAGCGTATCACGTAGTTTATCCTTCGCGCGACCCTCCACTAAACCACGATAGAAGACCTTCCTAGGCCGTGAAAGGTCACTGGACCGGGGAATGGCCTTCAAGGCCAACCGACACTCGCGGATGAAATCCGACTTATCCCGGGGCTTACAACGGCGCTCGGCCCTCGAGATGGGGGGACTGATAGTAAGGCTAGGGAAGGCGTCCCTAACAATCCCCTCCCG